CGCCGTTCAGTTCTGCGGCTTGCGGAGTATGTTCGAGAGCGCGAACAACGCTGGGCAGTCCGCGCTGTCTAACGGCGGGTGGGTCAAGGACGTCCGCTTCTGCACCTGGTCGGGCGTAAAGTGCGATGGGTCCGGACGCGTCTCGTCGCTGTGAGTATAACCGCATATATGCGCCTCTTTCACCGCGTGCTAACGAGGAAGTATGTAGACAACTGTCGTTCCCTTCTGTTCCTGCCAACGTACCTAGCGAAATAGGAGGTTTGACGGGCTTGACGAGCCTACAGATCGTGGGTGACACGAACGTACCAGGTATGAGGCACCCTGGTCCTACCAACGTCGATGTGTGTCGTGTCCACTGACGATAATGCTCTCTAGGGGGAACACTTCCTTCGTCGTTCACGAACCTCACGTCCCTAACGAGCCTGGATCTGCAGTCGACCGCTGTGACTGCAATCGACGCCAACCTGTTCAGTTCACTGAACCAGATCACTACTCTCACTTTGGTGAAGAACACGAAGATGGGCGGAGACCTGCCTTCCAGTCTGTTCGCACTACCACTGCAGAACTTGTACGTTATGTCCATATATGCCCCTAAGTCTGCCACTGAACATTATGGTAGGGTTGTCAACGACCAGAGTGTCTCCTCTGACACGCTCTCCAACATCGTCTCCAGCAACTCCCTGCAGGGCAGCCTAAAGCTTCTGTATGTGTACTCCCCGCGTGTGTCCTGCCAACCCTGCTGACGGTTCCATAACCAGCGATCTCTCCGCCACTTCTCTTTCCGGCGCAATCCCCGCGAGCATCTCTGCATTCACCGCCCTCACTGAGCTGCACCTCGATGGGAACGTGCTCGCGAACCCGCTCCCGGTGTCGTTCCCAACAACCCTCCAGGCGCTCACGCTCACGAACAACACCGGGCTCAGCGGTGCAGTCGCATCGGGTACGGCGTTCTGTGGGCTCGCGCGCCTCACGTCCTGCGACGTGCGCGGGACAGGCCTCACCGCGCAGGGCGCGTGTGGGGTTTGCACCTTCTCATGAGCGCCAGGCGCTCTACTAGTGTCTCCTTTCGCGTTTCTTTGCCCCACGTTTTGCTTTGCTTTATCTGTTCCTTGTCACCCGCGTGCTGTTCAGTGTTCGCCGCGGGTTCCGCCTCCCCCACGTTCGTTTGCTATATCTCCCCAGCTGTTCACCCGCTCGCTCATGCCTTCATGCTCTCATGACCGCCACGACACTCGTTTGTAGCCTTATACATACTCGGCTTGCCTGTCGTACAGCATGTATCGATATCACGCTCGTTTGGACTATGGATTCCCGTTGGACTTGTCTATCCCCTGTGTTGGCTCTTTGCTAGAATGGATGTACCATGTAGTGCGTGTGTATACGTATCCATGCCTTCGTTTTGTGTATCTATGTTTCTTCTCTCGGTACACGTTGTAGAGGACTGCGAGGGTACATACCCCGACTAATCGGAACGCAGTGTCTGTCACCATGCGCACGGCAACTCTGCTTTGTACTTGACCACATTCTCCTCGGTACCTGCCTGTCCTTTGATCTACCTCCTTGCTCATACACGCATAGTACGGTAAGTTCTCCCAAACCTATGAGAGAAGCTCTTGTGCTGAAAGTGCAAGTTTACAGGGTTGAGTGTGGCGACTACTGTCGCTATACATCATGGATTCAGAGCTGCTGGATTCGGCGAGTTTCCGGCGCAATGGGAACTGTCGTAGCAGGCCAGTGCAACTTGTCGGCCTCAACACTGCCTATCCTCCATCCCCGTACCGGAATGTATCAGCGCATCTGGCACGTCTGGTGCGGCACGACCGCCGGTGGGGTGAGCACGTACGGCATCGCGGCGCAGAGCGCGCTCTGCGAGTTTGCGGCTCTCGCATCTGCAGCTGAGACTGCCCGCCTGATGCCGCATATCAATTATCACCCAGCGTAACAGCCCTTTTGAGACCGGAAGCTGAAGGTGAAGTTCTTTGTAGTCTCAAGACGTCTGCCAGGCCTCTTGCAGTTGCTCGTCCCCTCCCCAGACAGTGCCAGGCCCGAACTGTCGAAGGACACCTCGAACTCGAAGGATGCGCCTGCTCCATTCCTCTGTTGCTCTTGCGTTCGCCACGGTCGCGGTCCGAGCATGTCCAGACGGTAGCGACGACCACGACCACATGCACACTGACGATCATCCGACACGGCGTGGATATCCTCCGAGGCAGCTCACCCCGCCCGCGCGCCCCCTCGAGTGGGGGGACGTGAACATAATCCATACCACGGACAGCCATGGGTGGCTGCTTGGGCACCGGAAGACGTCATTCCCGGAGCCAAACTACAGGTCCGTTCTCGTCTGTCGGGGCACACAGTAGGCTTTGAATGACAAGAGATATGTAGCGGGGACTTCGGAGACTTCGCGTCGTTTGTGGCGCACATGAAGCAGATTGCACTGGTAAGCCCGGCCGGCGTAATGATTTCGCAAGAAGCTGAAATTGTACGCACTGGCAGGAGAAAGACGTCGACCTGTTGCTAGTCGATTCCGGAGACTTGCACGATGGTCTGCGAACTGCCTCTACATTACTACGAGGTCGAGTGATACTAATTCTGTGGTGTACTAGGGACTGGTCTCTCAGATGGCTTCCCTCCAGGCGGCCTTGACGGCCACGAAGTGCGTCCAGGTCATCACACGACCAATCCTACCACACGTCGTTAACACATCCCTAATGCCGTCAGAGCAACAAGTTAATCCTTGACGTCCCGTACGATGTCATGGCAATTGGCAATCACGAGCTGTACAAGTACCCGATCGCGCTCGATATGCACACGAACTTCGCGCCGAAGCTCAACGGGCGGTACCTCTCATCGAACGCGAACATTACCGTGCTGAACGAGGCCGGAGAGGCGGTCAGTGTTCCCGTAGGCAGCCGCGTCGCTAAGTTCACAACGAGGAAGTACGTTCGGTCGTTCGTAAATGCGAGTATGCTGGCTAATCATATCCCGCTGGATGGTTGTCAGGGGCCGGAAGGTGACCTCGCTCGGTGTCTTGTTTGACTTTGCGGGGAACGACGTCAATACGACTGTGCAAAAAGTCGAGGACATGGTCAAGGAGCAATGGGTGAGCGACCATCCGTGACTGCCACTCACTCAACAGATTGAACTCATAACATTTTGGATGCGACTATAAGTTCGCTGATGCGATTCGGGAAGAGCCCGACTTTTTCTTGCTCGCAGGGTACGTCCACTCCAGTTCGCGAGTTGAGGTGCAAGACAGGAGTTGCTTACCATGTGTATGGCATCCCCAGGCACATGCCCGTTCGGAACGACCATTGTGCGTTGTATTCGCTGTCTAGCATGTACTCTTTGTGTGAGAGATGGTATGATGAACATGCCGTGTGTCGCAAGGGCCGACCGTCTTTGATGCAATTCGCGACGTGCACGCGACTACGCCAATCCTAATACTCGGGGGTACGAGATACTTGCCAATTGATGTAGCCATCGGCAGAAGCTAACAATTGCGCAGGACATACTCATATCCGTGATTGTGGTCAGTTCCAAAGACCGTGTGAACACATCTGAACCGTGCTCATAATGCATGCTAGTGCAACTGGATGGCCGCTCAATGGCGCTTGAGAGCGGCCGGTACATGGAGACTGTCGGTGGGTCTTTGCAGTAGCGTGAATCTCCACAGAGGAACTGAAGTGCGCGGCGGCACCTAGGATGGCTAAGTATGTCGGATCAGCATTATACGTGTCACGAATCATTCACAGGCGTTCATGATTAGATGCAAACTTCGACCAGCACGGTAATGCGCAGAAGAACATCACCTTCACGCGGCGCTATCTTGACCCCAACCGCGTCACTTACGAGGTCGACATCTTACGCTACACGTTCACTTCTTTGGCTGACTTTGTTGTTTGCAGTACCATACCCAACAAAGAAACTCCTCCTTTGACACGAGCGGAGGCCGGCAGATCACCCAGGGACTGAACGAGCTCGCTGCTCGCTTCAACCTGTCCTCGCTCTTCGGCACGGCGCTCCAAGACTACACGCTGACGCAGTCGCCGTATCCCTCCAATACCTCCGCATTCTCCCTCTTTGCCGGGCAAGCGATGCCCTACTCGCTCACGCGCAACAACAGCCGCGCCGGTATCCCGAACGTGATGATCACCAACTCGGGCTCGTTGCGGTTCGACGTCTACGAGGGCCAGTTCACGCGCGACGACCAGCTCATTGCGTGTCCGTTCACAAATGCGTTTGTGTACATCCCCAACGTGCCACTCGCGGTCGCTGCGCAGGTCCTCCCTGCGCTCAACAAGGAGGGCGCGCACGAGCGCAGGGCGCTAGAGGAGCGCGAGCGCGAGCTGTATGCGCGCGGTGAGGTAGAGATGCGCTACCTGCGCTGGCTCGAGGATATGGATAGGAAGAACGATGGACCTGCGCGACGGGGGACGGGGAATGCCACGCTGGGATATGTCACTCACGACGTGCGCAGTCCCTCATACCACCAGTGCTTGACTGTATGCTCACCTGCGCCTCTACAGGATTGTCCCGGGGTTGGCGACGACATCCTGCACGCGCCCCTTGTAAGACCCTCTCTGACACCCCTCACACGAGCGTGGTCTGACCTCTGGCCCCGTAGCCATTCTTTGCACCTCCGGACTTCATCGGCTCAGATCCCCCCACCCTCCCTGATGACACACTGGTGGACCTCGTCTTCACCGAGTTTATCACGACCCAGATGCTGGAGACCATCAACGGCCTACAAAGCGACAGGGCGTACGTTGATGCGGATGTGCTGCCGTACTCGGACGTGCTTTCAAACGCGATGCTCGGTCCATATGCGGAGAAGTACTGGAACTGATGACGGAGCGGAGATATCAGTAAAACGACAGTCATGCTACACTTCTGCACACTGAATAACATGTCAGTTTGACGGAACCGCGGAGAGGTGCAGGTAACATGTACATAGTACGTGAGGCCATGGACTGAGGGACTTTCCACGGGCAACAAAATGGACACGTCCGGGATTGAACCGGACCCCTCTCGCAGATGCTTTTGCACAATGGGTTATGCTAAGCGAGCGTGATAACCAACTACACCACGTGCCCTTACCCCTGTGAAAGCCAACAAAATCCATACCCAGAATCAAATAGGCAACCACGCTGGGCCACAGAGCTCGGGTCTTACTTCAACGAGATGATGTTCTAATGCTAACTATGCCGAAGAGCAGATACATTGGGACAGTACTGCTACATGCGGACTGTTCAAACAGTGTTGACTATGCAGGTATAATACTGGATGGAGAGACAATAACGAGCGTTGAACGGTGCCGGTAAATAGCCACAGGGAGGACAGAAAGGACCGAATGGTACAACGATGGTACCAGTGACACAAAAAGACATCGCTCCGAAGGATTGAACACAGTTGCTCAACAGTTTGATGCACAGGCAGTGCTCTACTAGAACCCTGCACAACGGAGTGCTGATCAGACGCATGTCAGTGAGTCTATGTCCATCACTTTCAGAAACAACCTCACCAAGGAAACCTCGAGGGATGCGACTCAAGTCAAGCTCAGGCGTGTTCGCCGCTCTGGGATTCATCGATGTCGAACACCGCCTCCTTCTCGTCCGAGCCTACTCCCAGTTCGGGCACCGACGTTGTACGAGGAGTACCGTCGTCAATGACAGAAGTAGCGGTGGGCTCTGCGCTGATTGTTGGTACAGCCGAATGGGTCGGCTCAACGAACAAGCATCCCATCTGGCGACAGAAACACCCCTCAAGCACATCCTGAAGCATCCACGTGAATGATCGGTAGCGCACAAGTCGTAGACCAAGGATGGCTCACTGTAACATTGACTTCGCCCTCGGGAGAAGCGACGGGCGCTGCGTATGCCACCGAGAACGCTATGAGAAACAGCATGAGCGACACCGTTGCTGGCGGGAAGGGGGAGAAGGTGGACTTACCGCTAACGCAGAGGGCAGAGATCACGAACGTGCGGGTAAGGATGAATGAGGCGACCATAGTGAGGCAAAGCGGTACAGGGTAGTAAGAGAAAGCGAATAATTCAAGAAGGGCAGTGTTGGGTGAAACGAAGAGTGGTAGTGGCCTGTCCTCCTCTCGTCGCCAGGCCTCTCCCTATATACCACAATCCCCGCCTTCCCCCGGCGCTGATCCTGGGATGCGCATCTCAGGGTTCCGCGCTCACGTCCAAGGCATCTCACCTTGTCATCGCGCCGGTCAAGATACAGAACCATATCACGCCTTGGGTCGGTGAGCCGAAGAGCAAGGGAGGTGCCCAGCCGTGCTACGCCATTGCCGATTCCTAGGGTGTCCATGTGTGCCAATCAGCCAGAACTCCGGGCGCGCTGGGTTGCCAAAAGGACGGGCGCCGTCATGCCTAACTTTGGATTGCGGACATGGCTCATATCGATACGAATATGTTGTTCGCAGTGCGGCACAGGTGTACACTCATGAGGAGATCGAGTTTTCGATCTGGGACCTGCTCACTATCTCTTGTGGTTCTATGTCAGCGCATCACAAATGGTTGGAGTTCGACTCAAAAATAGACGCACTCACTACTAGTAGGGGTGTTTGTACTGACCGAGACGACCAGGGGTGCCAGTCCGTGGGTGCCCAACAGATGTAGTGTGGCTATCGCGTGAACAACGTCATATACGGGTGTTACCGCTTACCCTCGACGAACAGCGCTTGTCTTGAAGAATGAACAGCCAGGCAACGAGTGAGCACGCCCACAGGAAGCGGATCAGGGAACCAACCTATGCAGTCATTCTGTGAGGGTAGTGAGCCCGACCACCGGAGGTTGCCTTCTTTGAGTGCCAGGCGCACCTGGCACGAGGCCAAAGACACGTCGATGGGAGCATGAGAGCCGCGAGGACCTTATGCCGATCTCGCAGCGGACTAGTCTATTGACGCAGTACATCGTCGGTGATATCAAGTTGGCCATGCAATGGGCATCCTTATGGCCTGCCACGGACCAGGTCGGGGAACGATCACGAGGACAATTGTAGGGCGAGACCAGCAGTCTACAAGCACCCAACACCTGAACAAACAGGCTACGCAGCGCAGCCAGAGTCAGTGCGGTAGCCCGTCCTGATGCGATGGACTCACCAGGTTCATGCACACAAACATTGCTACCACGCCCAGATGCTGTCCGGAATGCTGCTTCTATACATGGTGCGGATATGGATTTATGACAACAACCAAGAACCAGCCCCGAGCACCGAGGCATCATGGAGAGCAAGACAGGACTGAAGAGATGCTATGGACGTTGGTGACACATTGGGCGATCAGACATGATGACATGGGCAAACCAGACACGCGGGGGCAAATCAAGCGAGGCGACACGCAGGCGGACGATGCGAAGAGCGTAAAAGGGCGGGACGTGGGGTGCGAAGGTGAATACTACACTACGTAAAAGATCCGGATGCAGGGTGATCGGGTGGGTGGCGGGCGGTGAGTGATGGTGTGGGACGAGATGGGGCAAGACGATGGCGTAAATGTAAACGTTAAAAAGGAGCGACGACAACATTGGGGCAGGCGGGTAATACTGGGACGATCGCAATCTTGTGATACAAAGCTGGGATAGAAGAGAGCACAGAGGCCATAACTAGACTTGGACCATCGGACGTAAAGCGGCCGCTAGCGGTTACACGCCGTACCGCGTCGCGAGGCGCTCCTGGATGACGGGTGGGAATGTTGCCACCTGCGCAGCCCAGCCGACGGCGTCGTGCTGCTTAAAGCCGTTCAGCAGCTGTTGGAACATGTTGTTGAGCTCCGGCGACGGCTGATTCCACCGCACGATGGCATTGCAGAACCACAGCAAGCTCTACACACACGAATCTGTCAAGTCGGCGTCTTCTGGGACCAATGGAGGCTACTGACCTTGGTGATGCCCGCGGGATTGGTCTGTACGAGCGTGCAGAGCCCACGGAACGCCGAGTCCTTCTCCTCGTTGTCGCGGATCTCGTACAGGGCTTGACACCACGCCTGAGCGAACTCGGGCAGCAGCGGTGCGACGAGGCTGGGGTGCATCAGCCCGATGCGCCCGATTGACACGGCCGCGTTCTCGTGCAGACTGCGCGGCGCCTTCGGGTGCAACAGTATGGGGATGAGCCGCGAAATGAGCGGGTGCACCCACTGCTGGAAGTCGGGATCGTCTAATGCGGATCGTGAGCAATGCGTTCCTCCACATTGCGAAAGTAAGATGATACTCACCACGACCATACCGGAGGGCTATCTCACCAACAGCCCATGCAGCGTTATTGCATGCGCTGATGAACTCGACCTTGGGCTCTGGGTCGAGCTGGGCGATGAGCTCGTTCATGATCGAAGACACATGCGGCCGGATCAAGGGGAAGCAGTTCATCGCCATGTCGCCGACGAGCGCGTAACCCGACTGTCGCACCGCGGCATGTGGGTGGTTCAGGCAGACGGTGAGCAGCTGGAGGAGGCTTGGCTGCGTGCGCGTGATGTGCGGCTCGAGGGCCATGCCGAGGCCCTGGGTAAGACCTGAGAGCAGGTCGAGCGCCACGACGAGGAACGAACGATCGGGCTCGTCCATCTCGGGATTCTGCTGGTATGCTTGGTACTGAAGGAGGGATGTGTGCACGATCGTGTGGCACCGGTCGTATATCGGGCCCGCGTAAGGCAGGAATGCTGGGCCGATAGCAATCGTGACAGAGGCAAGACACTGGGGGCGGGTATGTGAGTTCTCACACCGCATGGATTGCAACGTCAAGCGCACCTCGAGCAGCGGAATGAGGTCCTCGTCATCATCCTTGAGCTTCGACCACCGTTTCAGCAGTGGCGGCATGAGGATCTCAACATACATCGGGTTCTGAAGCGCCGAGCCGACCGCGTCCGCGAGAGTGCCTACGGCGTCGTAGAGGATGAGCATGTTCTTATGCTGGTACTTCTCGAACGCGAACACCAGGTTCCGCAGGACCGGCTCGAGGTACGGGGCGAGCTCGGGGCCAGCGTCCTCTTCGAGCGTCGCAAACGCGCTGCATCCCGCTTCTTGGACGCGCTTGTTGTTATCGAGGACCATTCGAAGGAGCTGTCATCCCACCCGAGGTCAATTTCTCAGCCAATTGTACAGCGGTGGCAGTACTCACTCCCTCGAGCGTGGGGACGAAGAAATTATTCTTGTGGTCTTCTGAGATCGGCTGCGTACACCAACTCGCGTACCTGCCGAGTGTCCAGCATGTGATAGATCGGACGAGTGGCTGTGACAATGTGAGTGAACTCAAATCCCCAAGGTCGAAACGCGTTCTCGGGCGCACCTTAGGGTCGTTCAGGGTATTTATCAGGTAAGGGACCAAAGTGGGCAGGTGGGGCTCGATGGCATCAATACAACCTGTTGTTCGATATGAATATCGCTCCCAATGATTGACTCTGGAATGTATCAAACCTTCCGCCATGGCGCCGAGCGCAAGGATACCGCTCTCCCTCTGCAGCCAGTCATCGCTCCAGAGCTTCGTCTTCAGCGGCTCGAGTAGGACGTTGAGCAGATCTGCGCCGAATCGCACGGCGAGCACGTCGAGTGCTGCGGCGGCACATTTGCGGAGGTTCCACTCCGTCGACATGTCATCTGCGAAATCCTCGTCGTCGAAATCGTCATAGTCATCATCCTCGCCCTCGTCGAGCTCCTCGCCATAAGCGCCGACACGCTTGGCACCGTCCTCGCCGCCATTAGCAGCCTCACGTTCAAAGCCATGCGACTTGCCGCCGTAGTACCGTGGTTTGATGTCCGTCTCCTTATCCGGCACGGCTGCGTCCTCGTCGTCACCTTGGAGCCAAAGGAGATCGTCTTCGCTGTAGACCATGCAGTCAAGCAGCACCGGTGCGACCTTACCGAGCAGCGGATGCAGGTACGGCGCGAGATCCGGGTCTTCGGCAAAAGTAAGCCAGAATTCGCACGCCTCGAGCGCGACGTTCTCGTGCTTGTCCTTCGTCGAGTATAGCATATACTCGGCGACGTTTGCCATCTCGGGCATGAGCTTCTCCGGCCGCGACGCAAGCAAAAGCACAAGCGCCTGGCAGACGTGCTTGCGTACCACCGGGTCCTCGTCCGACGCGCGTTTGAAG